AACGCGCTGCCGAGTGTTAGGGCGGAGATGAGGGGCCGCGGGGAGCGCGGGGAGGGGGTGAGGGCAAAAGCTGGAGGATGAGAAGGAAAGGGTTGGGGAAGGGGTCAGGGCCCAGGGCCCAGGGCTAAAGGGTTAGGATTTAGGCCGGGACCTGGGCTTTAGGGTTGGGGTTCAGCGTGAGGCTTCGTGCTGGGGATCAGCGTTACCTGGCCCCACCCCCCGTCATGTGGCCCCGCCCCTTGTTCAGTGTCCACTTCCTGGTGATCGCGTGGCCCCGCCCCCTTGAGGCCTTGGATGGACCTGTTTCCGGGGAGCCGCCTCCCTGGTTGGCTGTCCGCCTGCCCTCCCACCTGTCAGCAGCCCTTTGACAAAGTCCTCTCTTTCCTGGCGGGAGTGACAGCTGGGACTGAAAGGAGACAGGAGAGCAGCGGCCGTCCATGCGGGAGGTCAGAGGGGCCTGTGCCGTCCCTGGAGGCTGCGGGAGGGGAGGGTGGTGAGGCGGAGGTGCTGACTGGGGAGCGGAAAGCCCTCAGGGCAAGTGGGGCGCACACCAGCACCCCACACTCCTGTGAGGAGCAGCGGTAGCCCATGGCACAGGTGAGGCTTCTGCAGCACAGAGAGGGCGAGCGACTTCCTGAGGGCACACAGCAGCAAAAGGGCGGAGCTGAAAAGGGAACCCGGGGCTGCCCACAGCCTGTGACTCCTTTACCTGTGACCTCTGGGTAAGGGGGCCGGGCCACGTAAACACTCTCCTTCTTGAAGATTGAAGGGATGCGGCCAGGAGCCCCCAGAGGCTGCGGAGGCAGGAAGGACCCTCCGGGAGCCTCCGAGGGAGCACAGCCCCTGGTTTCAGGTTCTGGCCCCAGAACCGGGAGAGCACCTGCTCCTGTTGGCTGAGGCCAGTCTGCAGTCACCGGAGCAGCCGCCCCAGGACACGGACCCTCCTTTGGGGGCTTTGACCGGGTTCTGGGAACCGCTGAGCCCTGTGCCCCGGCAGGGGAGACCCCTAGACCGCTCACGGCGGGGCTCCCGGGGAGACCCATCCCTGGGCCTGTGCCTGGGCCCTGCCTGCCGCTCCCCGGGGGGCTCCTGGGCAGTGACAGTGCAGTGGGCGC